TAGTTCACGCAGGCGCGCAAACCATATACTCCGGATAGCAGCGCGCAGTGGGCGAGGGCACCTCCACCTCCCAGTTTTCGGAGGCGGCCCCACCACACCCGCTCAGAAGCACGCTGTGTTGTTCGGCAGCCCGCTCGAGGTCTTTTTGTAATGAGGAGATCCGGCGTCGACTCGGACCTCCCTTTTCACGGCGGTAGCCGCCATCGCCCTCAACGACCGTGCCAAGCGAAACGCGGAAAACCACCCCCCAAATGGCGGCGGCGTTGTCGCCGGCGCGGCGTTCCTCCCTGCCCCCTGTTTGCGCCCATGGGGGCCATAAACGCAACCGAAGGGCCGTGTCCAGGGTGCCCTCAAGACATATTTGCCAGGCCTCTTCCTCATCCCCACACGTCCGCCAAAGAAACCGCTCATTTACCTCACAATCGTCGCTGCAAGGAAGGAAGGGAACCCGTTTCTTGAATCCTGCTGGTGTGGAGAAGAATCCACCACCACGTTTTTGAACCATTTTTCGCCGACACTTCCAGTAGATTTCCCAAAGGTGAAGATTGCGGTTGAGGAGCACACCTGCGCCCGGTGGCAACTCAAGATTTACGCGGCGATCCGCAACGAGTGAGACGGGTATGATGCTCTTGTGTGTCGCCCAGAAAGCGGGATACGACACCTCCTTTGTAAAAAGATAATTCCGCTCATCGCTGTCGTAGCTAAATTCCAAAAATCGTCTTACAAACGTTCGCGCGTCCAGCAAAGACCACTGGGGCTCCACTTTTCCAATCAAGCGGTCTGCAACCTCCCGAAATACGTGAAGCACTTCCTGTTGTTGTTGTTGCTGTAACTGTTTCTTTTGCTCAGGTGCTGAAAACCTCTCGTCAACCTTTGACATGGTGGGTAATGGACGTACTGGAGTGACTGGCAGTGCTGCGCCTTGAAGGTATGGAAGCACTTCTGCATGCAGGNAGGCAGCAAAGTTGATTACATCATCCAACGGAGTTGAGGTGTCTCGTACATGGTCACGCGCCGCGCTAGAAAAAAACCCCAGTGTTGTATTTCCAAAGTCATCATATGTAAAAGAGGAAAGGGAAATGGCCCCATGCACCAATTGACATGAATGAAGCTCAATAATGGACTGCAGTGCGTCGTGAAGCCAGCGAACCCCAAGTCGCATAATCCTCCTGTTAACATCATGAGTTGAACTGAAACGTAACTGCGTACCACCTCGCGGAACGTGAAAGAATATTCTTCGTGTGTATTCATCACAAAACACATCTGTCACACATGTCACTCGATGGCTCGCACACAATTCGGGGACGCGAATTTCACGCTCCATTATATGACTAAACAACTCAGCAGCGCGATTCGGTGCTTCTTCACCCTCGTTCTTCGAGAATGTATAACACTTCAGCCAACATGGTGTAACGGTGCCTGTAAGAGGGTCTGAATACTGGGCGCGGAGTAGCGCGAACTCAACCGCTGTCACCTCACCGAGACATTCCACACTCATCTCGTAGCCCACCGGAGAGCTGGCGGGGTCCATTGCATTTCGGGGTTCCACTTCAAGATTCATGTAATTCATCAGTGTGCGTTCTCGCTCGTACTTTACAAAGCGAGGCATTTCTAGTTTCTCGTGGACACACAGCCCGCACGACGAAGGCAGCTTCTTGAGGATGCCAGACTTTTCACTGAGGTGCATCGTATACACGTCATACAGTTCGCTGGTGATAGCATCTACTTCCCCGAACACATGGTGAACAAGAAAGATTTGCTTTATGTAGTCGTCGTGCCGCGCTTGGAGTGCTTCGCACTCTTTAACAGGGAGAGTATTAAGTTGACTTCGTATCTCGTCAATCTCATTTAGGAGTGAAGTGAGAGTCTCAAGCTTCCGCCTTCGCCCTTTGAAATAGTCTTCACACATTTTCCATAGTTTTTCGTGCATACTTAAGGCGTGTGCCCCGGCAAGTGCACAACTCGCAGTAAGTCCAAGTCCCTTTACTTCCTCTACAAAGGATGGCTCCACACACTCCTCATCAGAAGCCCCTGTGTCTTTCCACTGCTCTGTGCTGCGATCCGTCATCTTCTGCAGAGCTTTCTGTATGTTCAAAAGTGTATCTAGTGTCTGGCCCGTGCCTTCCACCGCCGATATTGCCTCTGCATCATCCCCGTCACCACCGGCACACTGCTTGAAAAAACTCTCAGCAAGACTCTTTGCCGTTCGCCACAACTCCAGCGCCTCCATCAAGGTGACAGATACCGTTGGGGGGAAACAAAGGGACACAATCGCCTCCCTCCGTTCCTCACGCAGTGCAAGAGCTTCTTCCTTTGTGCTCCACCGGAAACTGCGGCAGAGGTGCTCTCTTGACGCGAAGAAGATGTCTCCCTCTGGTTTTTCATCAACAATTTTTACATACGCCTGCAGGCAGTTGAACACGAAAACATCTTGCTCCAACTGTGCCCACCTCTCGGGCTGCTTGTACAAGTGAACTAATCCAGCAAATGTGGTTGCTTCTGTAGCGAGTTGATAACTCCGTTGAATTGATGCCAATACACGAGAAACACTGCGTTGTTTGACCGTTGCGCTCGTGCCGAAGACTGGGTTCCCATCTTTTATATCTTCTTCTTCATTGAATTCCCAGTTAAGCTCATCAAGACGATGTAGCTCTGAGGGTGTCCCAGCCTCCAACGCCAGAAGCCCATGCTGCCGAAGGCCCTCTGCTTCCACAGTGGAGTTACTCGCAGGACGAAACAGTGATCGCAGAAAGTCAACAATGGGACTCTTTTTTCGTTTTTTAAATTCAGAATCTGTAGTTCCTCGTCCTGTAGTCGATCCTGTTTGATATATAGCTGGACAATCTTCTTGCCACCCCTGGCAGAAGGCATACACCTCAAAATCATGATTGAGCTGCGCAGCGAGATCACTACTACCACCCTTGTCTGGATGATGGAGCAACAGGAGCGCTTTATAAACCTTTTTGCATTCACCACGCTCGTTGAGGAAACCCCATTTACGCTGCAGCTGGACAATCCCAAAATGTTGGAATGAAACAGGCATCATCGTAATATCTGCCGAAGCACGGTAGTCGTCGACATCGGTGTGACTTTCCCAGCCACACGCTACTCTGTAATCTCGGTAGTGCTGTACAATTCGACAAGTTTCAAAAGAAGATAGATCATGCTGGGCCTCCAACAACTGCTCAAACCTCTTCCGCGATTTTTGTTCGTTTGGAGAGTAGCCATACTGTGTTTGCAGCTGAAGACGTACAAAGATGCGATCCGCATACCTTGTAAGAAGTGTACCAACACAAATCCCCAGAGTAACTGAAAGCAGTGTGGTAGCGAAGATCTGCCCTGCTACTGGAATAGCACTCAGTCCTATAAGCGTCCCCACTCCATGACCAATGGCAACACCGATTGCGGCGGTTCCGACCTCTTTCCCGACACGTAGGGCCACATCCGAGAGGCTGGTCTGGTAGCCCAGTGTGTTGACCTCCCCGTGACGGTAGTCACTGATGGCCCGGTAGGACTCGTAGGCGATGAAGGCAACTGTCAGCACGGGGTTAGCCGTCGTGCTGGAGAGAACTAGCCCGTCGGCGATGGTCATCCCCATGCGTCCGACACCCATGACTAGTCGCCGCTCCATCGGTGTGAGAGAGATGAGCTGGCCTTTGCGCGGCGTACGTGAGACTGTCGAAGGCTGTGCCGCGCCGGCTGGAATTAAAAGTTCTCGCTCCGTCACCCGTCCCTCCTGCGTGCGCACCACCGCGCCTCTGTCCGCTGCAGCCGTTAAGGCATCCCGCTTGGCGTCAGGCATCCCAACGTTTCGCTTCGTGTTCGCCCAGCAGTGATTGTACGTGTGTGTGTGGATCTTGGCCTCACGAATGCAAAGCGACAGAAACTACTTGTCTCCCTTTGCGTTCCGTATTCTTCCTCACTGACTTAGGATGAAGGAAACAAGAGAGCGAGAGCGAGCCAATGGAAAACAATATGAATGAGGGTAACACTTGACATGCAAAAATG